CTCTTGATTGTCAAATTCAGGTGTTACGTTATCTATTTAAAAAAATGTTATTATTTTGTACTAATGACTTGCATTGTAGTTACACTCAGAAAAAACAATAAAAATACATTTATGCTTTCATTCCATGATGGACTATCACCGTTGCTTTTTTGAAAGCTTAAAAGCTAGGAATAAAAGTATTTATTTAGATATAAGTTGAAAGAAGCTCTCTACAAGTTTTGTCATTTCCTCTGATTAGTGGCAAACAACACATTTTATTTAATTTGATAATATACCAGAAATAAGATGCGCCGACGACCAAACTGTCGGCCTTATCTCACACGAAAGATGCGACCTTTGGGAATGAGCTAGAATCATCTTGTTTTGTACAAATTAAACATGAAAGTGTTGTCAAGTGTAGTAAATAACACATTTTGTACGTATTTCACATAATTACCAAATATTCAAGAACAACCACTTCAGTCCGGTTTGTAACAAAAAATAAATCTGTTACATCATGTATTTATCATAACTTTATAAACATTACATTCTTTATACAAATGAAGTGATAGCGAAATGTTTCAATTATCTAATTTTTCCGCAAACTCCTCTTTCCGAGTGGATACTTCCGCGATGTAACTACGTGAGCACCACCACGGTACACACACGCTTTGTTCTTGAGGCTAGCGTCTTGAAGGCGATTAGTAATGAGATCGTCAATAAGAACCAGTAAGAGGTCGCTTCACACCGACACTGCGATATCAGTCACCTATTGAACCGCGGCCTATCGTACTGGTAATAACTGGACAGCAGCCGCGGCAGGCGGCTTCTGATAACGCTCCCACATACACACGGTCCTACGTGAGTTCCACGATACAACGCGCTCAAGCCAAACTGACCCTTATTGCATCAAATTTAAAAAAACAAAAAACTTCCGATAGTCCCCTAATACACCTGTAGATAGAGATGAATCAGTTTAGTGGTAAAAAAAAAAATCATGAGAAATGTATGGAGCTATCATGTTCGCGGGGGACTCGTCCTCTTATCAGCGCGTTGTCACTCGTAGACGTTTTATAAGTAGGCGACGCGAGCGCCCGCCATCATTGTCCGTAGCGACCGCGCGGTGACCACAACTACTTTTTATTTATTAACATTTATTTAGTGAACAGTGTTACGTATATACAATGTTAGTGTTTCCGGCTTGGAGATCGGATTTGCCCCGGGACGGGTGTAGGGTGCCGAGGTGGATGCCCGCTGAAAGATTCGCGCCTTATTTCGCGAGAACTGTAGCTTTGCCGCCACATCCACCACAGGTGCGACATTTTCTTAGAAAAGAAAATATTTTTAATTTGTAAACAAAACTTTTTCCGAATATTTTTTTTTATAAATTGTTTTATAATGAATTGTTTTTATTGTCTTTACAGTTGGAAGATGATGATTCGTCTGGTGGATCGTCGCCTGACAGAACCTCTACCGACACGGTTGAGAATGCGGAGGGAGTGTGCCAGTGGCGAGGGTGCGGCGCGCACTTCCCGAGCGTGGCACGCCTGTCCGCGCACGTCGCACGCGCACATGCGCTTGCACACAGAGATGGACTCTTCTACTGCGGGTGGAAGGGATGCACAAGACCACAAAGAGGATTTAATGCACGGTAAGTGTCCCATATACAAAACTTTCACAAAAAATTAAGGAAATATTAATTTTCTTGCAAGCTTTTTAATATTATTTTACTTATCCTTTTTTTATTTTTGTCAACAGATACAAAATGCTGGTCCACGTGCGAACACACACAAACGAACGTCCACACACCTGCAACCAGTGCAATAAGAGTTTCTCCAGAGCAGAAAACTTGAAAATTCACCTCAGGTCACATTCTGGAGAGAAGCCCTACGTTTGTCCTTATGAGGTACATATCAACACCATTACTTACATGAAAAAAACTTATATATCCTCTTCTTAAATTATATTTCATTGCTTATTTACACCATGTTCTAATTTGTGTTTCTTTTTATCATCAGGGTTGCGGCAAGGCATATTCAAACTCCAGCGACAGGTTCAAGCACACAAGAACACATGCTATAGAGAAGCCGTACTGCTGCAAAGTCCCCGGCTGCAACAAGCGTTACACAGATCCGTCCAGTTTGAGGAAGCACGTCAAAACATACAAACATTATACAGCAGAACAAAAGGCACGCCAGGAGTCATCGGATGAAGTTTACAGCCCCGAAACGTATTCACCTACAAAAGAAAATAGCTCTTCGTACACAGTTATAGAGCCCACATCACCGTTACACGCCAGCAGAGCGTTCAACGTGCCCGTCAGCTCTCTATCCCCGACACTACCGACATACCCGCCGATGCTGGCAGACACCTCCGTTCCTGCAACCATGCCGTACTCTCCCATGGAACAAGTCACCTACATCAGGCCACTTGAAACCCTCTACCCAGTGAGAATCCCAACAAATGAGATGTCCTACATGGAGTACACGCAAATGTATGAGCATGCGTACAGAAACTACTACTCCAGCACACTCTCCTACCCAGCATTGGGACCAAGTATTAGTGACAAAGTATTTACTTATGAGGAGCAGCCTCGCCTTGAAGAAGTGCCCGTCAAGAAAGTGGCGGAGAGTCCCAAAATGTACAGTCCAATGGACGAGGACATGCCTCTAAACCTTATTTGCTCAAAACGACGAGATTACAAAACTATTGAAGAACTAGTCAGACGCACAGACTTACCTTTAGATTTAAGTACCAAAAGTTAATATTTATTTTGTAATAAAGTATTATAGCTGCTTTTCTGATTTTCATTCATTTCCATAGACACGGGTACAAAGTCTACAACAAATATTAGCACCTGTTTGGTATTGTTCATCATATTCAGCACATCTTTATCACAGTACAAACACAGTACCTACCTACGTGACGAGACATACGAGCGGATTACTTCCTTATCTGATGACAAAACTTATGTTTACTCAAAACAATATAGTACAGGATGAATTTTTGAAACGGATGTATGTATAGTATATGGTCAATTTCGAAATTTGGGCTTTGACAAATGTATTTTTTTTAAATACATTTTTAAAAATCTCTCACTTCCATCTTCATTGCACTTATAAATAAACGAAACATTTTAATCAAACAAATTAAAACAAGTTACCTGGCATGAACAATGAATTAATATTGATAAAAAATCACCTTGTACTGCAGACAGACAGACAGACCGATGCTCTAAATCACATTATCTTTTACAAGGGTATCTAATACTTTTGTTGGCTTTATCCGCATTGTAACAAAAATGTTAGCTGCGGCCTTTTCTCAACTAGGTTGGGGTCGAGTCGATAACCAGTTACAACTGGATTTTGGCAATTTAAATGGAAGTAATGTCTGCCCTCTGCAACCCATCTTGAGACAGTCCTCGCGAAGTGAAGTAAAGTCGTTTTACTTCAAAATGCCCACTCTATTATAACTTGGTTTTATAATAACTATCGTGAGACATACTAAATTAACTACTAGTAGATTAATACTAGACAAACTAGTAGAGCTTTTCTCAGTACATTCACGTGAGTAACCCGCGATTATATCTTGGCCATTGACTTTTCCAAAACGATTAATAACACAACAAAAATAGAGCTTGCTATTGAAACTGATGATAGAATTAATTAATGGAAACGAGCAGATGACAGAGTTCATTAATGTCTAAGTATACGTAAGGCGAATCGAAGACTAGGTAAATAAATGATGGATGTTAAAGGAACAGACGAATCTTCTGTGATAATAAATGATCAGCGTTACCCCTGGATTACCGACATCAGTAACATCAGAAGGATAAAGGTTTTGGGCCTTCAGGAACCTCAGTCACACGACAAAACACAATGCTTCCACACTGGCGCCGCGGTATCATACGTGTCGAGGAGCGGTACTATTATGATATTATCAGCGCAAAAATGCATGAAAAGAAGCTAATGAACCTTAATTATAATATGTAAATGAAAGATGTCACCGACCTACAATATCGCAGAATAATTTTTGTTTTTCATATCGTTGAGAGTTTTACTGTCAACCTGATTTTCATTGGTTATTTTAGTATTTATTCATTTTATTAATATTTAATGTTAGAATAACATAACATCACACCTTTTTATCTCCGAAAGGGTAGGGAAAGGTGCACATTACGGCACTTAGTAACATTGTGACCCACTTTTGACTATTTATGGTATGAGTCTCATGTAACAGGGGGTGAGCCTATTGCCATATACCGGGCACAATTTCAGACTCCGTGCTACTACTGAGAATTATTCAAAAAGACCCAGTAATATTTTACCCGACCGTTTAATAGTCACACTTGCGACCACTCGGCAGGATTAACATTTATAATATTTATTTATTTATTTAACATATTGCCACAATAATGATAAATATCCAGGATATATTAAAGTAATTATAGATTCTATCTATAAGTATCGAGCGGATCAAAGGTTGAATTTTTATTAAACGGAAATCGGTCCGTTAATGCGGATACTATTAACCGATAAGTCTAATTTGGGGTCTTACCAAACTAATTATACACAAAAATAACTCCAATCAACTTTATTCAATACTTACTTATAATAAAGTATACAAAAATAGATAATCAAGAAAAAATATTTTGAAAAACAATACATTTATTTAGTAAGAAGTCAAAATAATTGCGGTATACGTTTGAAGACATTATTTAACAAAAACAAAAATCCATTCTTTAAGAAATAATATTGAATGTATACTGCGAAACAATAGGGTAGATGACTAATTTTTATTTTAATGTTCGTCTGGTAGATTATTTTAAAACATTATACACGTATTTTTTATTTTTTTACAGAAACGAATACTTTCGACGATATATTGATTTGAAATGTCGCGTGACGTCACTTCTATGTACATTTTATACGTATAGGAATGACGTTTTAGCTCCCACTCTTAAACTTTAATTCGTTATATCTAAGTATCATTTTATTATACACTATAATAAAAAATACGTGTCTAATATTTTTTCATTACCTAACTGACGGACTAAATAGATTTTTAATTTTCATACCCTGTCATCATCCCTATTGAGTGGTACCAGCAAATCAACCTCCAACCACTCGAACTTTTTAAAGATTTCCAACCTTAAGCTTTCGCAATAAAACTTAAACTCCATTACACCGGTAAGGATATCTTGACCTTCATTATTGATTTATTGGAATTTTAATAGATTTTCTGCCTAAACTTTTATAATAAAGTTCAAACTCCATTAGATAGGTAAGGATAGCTTGATGTGCCGGTGTCTATTATTGACGGATATACATATAAAAAAATGTCAGGATATTTACATATTTAAGCTCGGACAAGTCGCGACATGCCTTCAGCAATGGTCCCGAGCGCCGCAAGGTCCTTACGGGCGGTGTCCAATAGATGAGCCATTCCCTTCTGCTGTAGAGACAGGAACTGCTTCACGTCTTCTTGTGCACCTGCGAGGTATAAAGGAATTATGTACCTATTACAAATGTCATGTAAAGACGTCAAGGTAGAATGCATTTGTCACTACACGTCCCACTCTACCCGGAGAAGTCGTAAAAGCCGAATAAGGGACTACACATTGTTTTTAACGTTGCCCCACACTAGGATTTTCTCCTGTGTCGTGGGTGCGTTTACAAACATACAAGTTCACATACACATGACACCCAGACCCGGAACAACAATCTGTGGAGCACACGAAAGAGTTCCTTCGTGCGGGAATCGCACCCGAGACAAGTTGCGCGGCAGCCGGTTACCGCGCCAATCGTGTAGTTAATATTGGGCAACACTATCGCATATTTCTGATCTTTATAGTTTGTTTATATGGTTACTTATTTCAGTTCCATAATAATAATTTAAATAGCGTTTATGCCGTTTGTCTAGCCCCAGTAATCGCATGAAGGATGAGAACAAAATTTGGATTCTCTGAAGAACTAAGTCCAGTTTCTTGAATCTGTCATTAAATTCCCAGCTTTACATCTGCGCAATAAAGTCGAAAATCCAGCCACACATTTGTAAAAATACTAATTATAAGGATGACTTGCTGATGTCTGTACATGTCCAAACTTGAATTTATTTTATTTAAACTCTTCTATTGTGTCAATGCTTGTTAGATCATTCGAAATAAATGGCATAAACAAAATAATATTATTTGACAACACGATTAGTGCGGTGGCAGGGCAAGGTGTCGCGGGTTCGATTTCCGCACGGAGCAACTCATTGTGTGATCCACAAATTGTTGTTGGGGGTCTGGGTGTCATGTATATTTGTTTGTAAACGCACCCACGACACGGGAAAAAACCTAGTGTCATCCAACTGTTCTTTTAAAAAATATAACATCAACATAACCTCCCCGAAGGGGTATGTAGAGGTGCACATTACAGTACTGAAATGCCACTGTACAATGTAACACACACTTTTCACTATTTATTTGATGAGTCTAATGTAATAGGGGTTGAGCCTATTGCCATATATAACTATAATACAATAATAATCTATTAAATATCTTACCAGGATCCAAATGGTACCGCTCATGCGACGCCCCTGCGCTTGCGCTGCGTTGCAGTCGTACTGCACATAGTAGTTCGTTCAGGCGACCCTAAACAAACACATTTTTTATGTAAATACTTAATTACCTATATAATTTAATTTAGAATATCATCATTTTAACCCTAGCACAAAAATAGTAATATAGGTTTAACACCAGTGATGTATGTATTAGTTTGGCATCGTGGCCCTTAAAGAGATGGGACAGACATACTATTTTATAAGTATTGGGTTTATCAATTTCAATATTGTTAATAAATGACATAAAATACAGTATTAGAGCTAAATAAATATGAAATCTTTAATTTCTATAGCATCTTAAGACAGAAAATGTATTGCCTTGGAACCTATAGTATAAATACACATTTTTATTGAACATAAGGTGCGTATATTGTATATTCTACCACCCAAGTAATAATAAAACTCATTCCATATCGAAATCTCACGCATGAATCGCTTATTGCGCCGCACATAATGTATGAAAGCCTAGGCGTGTCAATATTATCTTAAACATCTAGAAGTAAGTTCTATGGGCGAAAATTGTCTGATGTATCGCTATATCACTATATCGTCTACTGCAAAGTCACGCACGATTTGTTTCGATATAACACCTTAGCAGTGCGTGATAGAGATGTGGACACAACGTGATACTCCTGTACCTCCTAAAACCGATTAATTAATGATAAACTATCTTTTGGTTTACCCGCACGTTCGCTATTAATCGTAGAAATTCGTGAACCAGTTACAACCGGATAACTCGATTAGGTTGACGTATCACTGTCAATTTTGCAATGTTGTGCAATACTTGGTTTTGTTATGGGATGCGATTTGGATATTGCCGCAATACGTGTTTACTGACCACATTTTAATTTATTGTATTTTCATGGACAAAGTAACTACACTACACTTAGACCAAGATCAATGTGAAATGTTTGTAAACATACCACAAAGGTATGGGTACCTTACATTTGACCGCATTATCTACTAGCACATTATACACAAAGGTTTATAAATAAAATGCAGATCCAATGTATAAAAATAATAATTGGACAATAGTTAAAAAGCTGTTATAATTAGAGAATTCTTAGTGACAAACCGATAGAAACTATATTCTTTCAAATACATATTTCAGAAGCTTTCAGTAATCTACTCGGCTAGTCGTAAGCAAGATGCACTCGACAACTTCTGGTAATATTTACTATTAGGTACTATACCTATAATTTAGAGTTAAAACAATAAAAAGTTTTTATTATAATCAAAATTTGTTCATATCTTATACAGCAAAACTTTAGAATCGTGCAAGGCAAACATTAAACACATTTCCCAATAGCACATTGCAAATATACAAAATGATATGAAAATTCATTGTTTTGTCAGCGCCATTACGCAAACATTGAATTTACTCAGTATAATGATTTAATAAATAGCAATACTTCAAAAACCACGTAATTTTTAAAAATAATTAGACACCTAGTATAAAGTAAGAAGCCTAAAAATGTTGTAATGCTCCAATACAATGAAAAGACAACCTTATACCAATAAAGAATTAAGGTAAAATATTTATCACAACTCCATCATAGGGTTAGACATACCCATAGCTGGATACAAACAGTCTGTTACTTTCTCAGAACAAATTCTAAATTAAATATTTTTTCTAAGATCTGAAAGTAATCTTATAATCAAATAATCAGTCACTTTGTTGAGTAAATATGTCTAGACCCAAGGAACACTAGAATGTATGATAAAAGTGGTGAACTCTTAAGCCTCGTTTACGGAGACGCGGCGCGTCGGGCGTCTGTCGTACATTGCTCTTTATGTTCGTGTCTGCGCGGGTGATGACGCGACCCGCTGCAGTAATGTACGACGAACCACTCAACGACCGCGTCTCTGTAACTAAGGCCTTAGTATCTCTTTATATGGGGACATTTCTCTGTTATTCTGTGTTTGTTGACGCACTTAGTTACATCTCGAGACACGCATGTCCGTTTTGCGTGTCTTCTTGTTTGAAGATAAATAATAATGTTGCCATCAGCCTGGTACATGGCTGTTGCTAGTTGATTTATAGATTTTAAGTTTCATCGACCTTTTATTGCACAAGAGTGAAGAAAGATTGGACAATATTAATTAAATATATATAAACTCATGGGTGACCACATCACTAGAATCTATGAATTAAAATCATGGATGCTAGAACCCATAAGTTGAGAACATGGATGTTGCCTTGCCATAGTATCGTCTTATAGGTACCTTGGCATTAATTCGATGGTTTTCCATCCATCACGAAAAAAATTATAGAGGTTAGATGTTCATCTCCCACATTCCGTCAGTTTCAAGTCATATGACCCCTTGCCTATGCTAATACATTGCTATTCCAGTAAATTCTGAAGCTGAATATCCAGACATTTTACCTTAGACACAAACTAAGAAAGAGCTCTTGTCACTACTTGACCAACAAAATCTACACGTGTACACCTGGACTTACACACCGGTTATAACTGAATCCAGTAAATTCCCGGTAATCAAGTACAAATCCAACGTATTATACGCAACATTGATACGTATGACGTTGCAAAATATATTGTACAACAATTAATCACGAAACTGATAGTTATCGCCCACTTATTTAATTAGGATATTACTAAACCCCCAATCGCGATACGTAACGCCTTAAATTGTTTGAAAAATGACCAAGCATAAATAAATCATACATTCCTAATCAATAATTACCTATATATAGATTTTACATAGAAGATATTCAGAGATAAAACTCCAGTATCTCTGGTACACTCGTTTCCTGCATGATAATCAAACCATTTCATTTTGATCCAAAGTCACATTTTGAACCGGTTTTTACTGGTTGGGGATATTTCATAACACTTTTATAGATAGTACTATTCAAATAAGTCGAAAAGATAGCGGGTATTGTTGTTTTATGATAGGTTTATATTATGTAGACATAGCGTTATTTTCATTAGAATGAACGACTGTTCATAAGACTTTAAAACCCATAACCAAGCTACGATGCTAGATCGATATACGTCACAGGTAAGAAAACTCATAAATTGGCCAAAAACAAACACCATTGTTATTCTTCGTTGGTGTTAATTATTAGTTTATCAACAACAGCGTAACGCCGATATATCTACTCGTGCTATAATACTGTCTGGCGTCTGGAGATAACGATAAGCAATGATAAGGGAGCACGCGGTGGCCGAGTGTCCCTACATTCGGCCAGACAAGGTCATCAAGTACTAAAATTAACGTTGCAATAGTGATAAGGCGCTTGATCCCATGCGATAACAGACACATGCTAAGTACCGTACGTGTAGATGAGCCACAGATCTACAGATAATAACAATCATGAAAAACCACATTTTTCGGTGTGTCATGGCCTCCGAATCTATTAGCTCTTTTACCGTTTTGTAACATTTGTTTTTTGTAAAGTCATCAATGTTCGTAGGTGATATGGGTATTGCTATTCATTCCCTATCATTTTTGCAACATCTTTGAGACAGAGTAATGATACCAATCACCTTGGGATTTTGAGGGAGTAAGCTAATTCCAACTCGTCATCTACTCATCAATTTTTTTTCACCTGTGTATCAAGTACACATTACCTCGTACGAATTTTGTATCAAACAAGCGCTCATTAATAAACCTAAGTGTCTAGTACAATGGTTCCCAAAGTTGTTATGTTTATATGACGACTTATCTAAATCTAAAGGTAACGTAAACTTAGGACCTACATTTAGATTCTAAAGGTAGGTCCTAAGCAGTGGCGTGCAGTCCATATAGGCGAAAAGGCTTTGCCTACCTATAAATATCGTGAATATATGACATACATAAAATGTACAAACGCGTTTATTAAAATTCAATAACATAATAAAAGTTTGTAAAAAAACGGCTAACATAAATACGCGCCTTTGTAAAGCAATGAATGCGCCCCGCACGCACCACGCATGCGCCACTATTCCTTAAATCTTGGTTGGTAGTAGTGACGTCACAAAAGAAATGTACCAAAAGTATGCACCGCGCATGCGTGAAGTTCACGACCATAGTCACGGTACAGAATAACCATTCATAATTATATTACACGATTCCTGTTGATTGACAAAATGTTTGCAACTAAAAAATTAGAGGACCGTTCGTTCATCACTTGGAAAACGATCGTATTTTATTAAGAATTCTAAAACAATAAAAAGCAACAAGTTATTGTATTTTTAAAAACAATTAAATTATAAAAGGTTTTAAATTGATAAAATCTGTATATCGTAAAGTACTGATGAATGGAGTACATCAGCG